TACAAGTAGATCTGAGGTCTGGAATCTCCAGCCTGCTTTTTATTACGGTTACAGACAAGAAATACACACCCAGGGGGAGGCATTAAATCACCAATCAGGAATAGGTTACAGCCCATACCTCCCTCCCCTCTGTTAAACAGTTAACTTAATTAAAACGTGCACTATTTTACCCCAATTCTGGATGTACCCCAAAAACAGGGGGTACACCTTTAAATCTGGTACCGCTGGATAGTTCTCATTTGTGTGGCCAACATATCGAAAAATCAGTCCATTCGGATGAACGGTTCGGGAGTTATGGAACACTAAAGTTTTGACCGACCGCACGGACCATCTAGCCGAAAATAGTTCCATAAGTTTTGGCCCTGCGGTCGGTCTCCGTTTAGGCGAATAAAAGAGACGAAAACCCTGCCATCCATTCGCAGCTTTGTGATCGTTGAAATCCCCATACGAAGTTGCATGTAACTACCGAACGGCCGGTGATTCGGTCGTTCCCGTGCGAAGTTCTGGATGTATGGAGGTCTCAGCGGTGTTCGCCTGTTTGCGTATCCGATTTTAGTTCCACGCGTTGACGGGCAAACACCGCTGTTTGCACGTAAAATGGCTGCGGCCACGTGTAAAGTGCCGAAATGGCGGCCACCTATATTTTACACAGGGAATTCGTCTGAATCCATCCGAAAGGTAGAAATCCTGATTAACGGAGTCATTTCTTCACACTGCTCCCCTATAAGTCCATAGGTCGGCATACCCGCCTAGACCCTGTCGGGTTGGCTTGGGGATGTCCGATGAAAGTATGTTTTTAGGTGTCCAGTTCGGTCTGGCGGGACAGTCCATCCGCGTTCCCATTTTGTTTACCCGGACAGCCCATACAGATAGGGCTGAAGTTTCTTGAGGGCCCACACGAGGGCCAAGCACTCTTTTTCTACGGTGGCATAGCTGACTTCTCGGGGCAAAAGTTTACGGCTGAGGTATGCCACGGGTGTTCCATGCCATCCGCCCCCACCTGGCTTAGCACGGCTCCCAGCCCAAACATGGAGGCATCTGTGTGGACAAGAAATTGTTTAGTGTAATCGGGTGCTGCCAACACAGGGGCCTCACTCAATGCCGCTTTGAGCTTCTGGAAAGCGTCCGTGCACTCTGGGGTCCAGGCGACCTGTTTGGGGAGGGCCTTTTTGGTAAGGTCCGTGAGGGGCTTGGCCAGGGCGCTATATTCTGGGACGAACTTCCTGTAATACCCGGCCGTCCCTAAGAAAGCCAGTACCTGGGTTTTGGTCCGGGGTTGGGGCCAGTTAGCTATGGCCTCTACCTTAGCGGGCTCTGGGCGTTGTCTACCGGAGCCGACCCGGTGACCTAGATACTGTACCTCGGCTAGGCCTACGTGACATTTGTCGGGTTTCAAAGTGAGCCCGGCGAGGTGGATTCGTTCGAGTACCCTGGACACATGACCCAGATGGTCTCCCCATGTGCGGCTATAGATGACAATATCATCTAGATACGCACATGCGAAGTCCTGCAACCCCTCCAAGAGCCTATCCGCCATCCGCTGAAACGTAGCCGGGGCGTTCTTCATCCCAAAGGGCATAACCTTGAATTGGTATAGCCCAAACGGGGTGACGAACGCCGACTTGGGGATGGCCGCAGGCTCCAGGGGGATCTGCCAATAACCCTTGCACAGGTCCAGGGTAGTCAAGTAGTTCCCCCCCGCCATACGATCTAAGAGCTCATCTATTCTAGGCATGGGGTAGGCATCGGTTATGGTACGGTCGTTAAGCCTCCGGTAATCTACGCAGAAGCGCGTAGTGCCGTCGCGCTTCGGTACTAGTACCACCGGGGAGGCCCAAGGACTTTGGGAGGGTTCTATTACCCCTAGCCGTAACATATCCCTTAACTCGGTGAGCATACTCTCACGTACTGCTTCCGGGATCCGATATGGCTGTTGCCGTAGGGGCGTCTCTCCCTGGGTTTCCACACGGTGGACCGCAGCGGAGGTATAGCCGGGGTAGCGGAAAACATCTCTCGGTATCCCTGCAGCAGTTGAGTAGCCTCACCTTTCTCCAGGTGGTCTAAATTTTGCCCCAAGCTTACTTGGTCAATCGTACAGGGGGTGGTCTCCAGTAAGTCAGGAAGGGGAAGCCCTTCACTATCCTCTGTGGCGGGGGCGCACACGGCGCCCACCTCCTCTGTCCTTTCAAAATATGGTTTGAGCATGTTCACATGGAAGGCTTTGGTCAGCCTTTCATCTGAGCATTTGCTCACGATGTAGGTAGTCTCGCTAACCTGTTCCACTACCTTAAAGGGTCCCTGCCAGGCTGCTTGAAGCTTGTCCTTTTTAACGGGCCTCAGAGCCAGTACCTTCTGCCCTAAGTCCAGCACTCTATCCTGGGCCCTCCTATCGTACCACTTTTTCTGGTCCTCCTGGGCCGCCTGCAGGTTCTCCCGAACCGATTCGGTGAGGGCCCGCAGACGGTCCCGGAACTCCAGGACATACTGGACGATAGGGACTCCCCCCTCATCTGTATTGCCCTCCCAGTGTTCCCGTACGAGCTCCAGTGGGCCCCGAACTTTTCTCCCGTACAGGAGTTCGAAGGGGGAAAACCCAGTGGAGGCCTGGGGCACCTCACGGTAGGCAAACAGAAGGTGGGGGAGGAATTTTTCCCAATTCTTGTGGGACTCTGTAAAAGTTTTTAGCATCTGTTTTAGAGTGCCATTGAAACGTTCACAGAGCCCGTTAGTCTGGGGATGATACGGGGCGCTGAACAGGGGCTGCACTCCACAGCTCTGCCACAGTTGTTGCGTCAGGGTGGCTGTGAACTGCGTCCCCCGATCGGAGAGTATCTCCTGCGGGAAACCTACTCGGGTGAATATCTGAATAAGGGCCTCTGCCACGGTCTCGGCCTCTATATTGGTGAGGGCGACTGCCTCCGGGTATCTAGTGGCGTAGTCAACCACCGTTAGGATAAACTTTTTGCCCGACGGACTGGGGCGACTGAGGGGACCTATTAAATCCACCGCTACTCGGTGGAAGGGCTGTTCGATGATGGGTAGGGGGTGAAGCTTAGCCTTCCGAAGGTCTCCCCTTTTTCCTACCCTTTGGCATACATCACATGTCCTACAATAGTACTTTAGGTCCTGGGTAGCTCTGGGCCAGAAGAAGGTTTGAGTTAACCTGTCTCTGGTCTTTTTGACCCCTAAATGTCCTGCTAGGGGAATGTCATGACTGAGTTTTAACAACTCAGCCCGAAATTTACGGGGCACAACTAACTGTCTTTTTATGACCTGGGTAGCCCCCTGTCCCACCCCCTCGGTTACCCTATATAGCAACCCCTTATACCACTCAAATTTTTCGTGCGGGTTGTTCTCGGGGGTAGCGGCCGCGGCCTTCCTATAGCCTTCTAATGTGGGGTCAGTACGCTGTTCCTGTTCAAACCCCTGGGGGGTATCCCAGAAGGGTACGGGGGGATCGGGTAAAGGGGGTATTTCGACTCTTACCTGGTTTTCCTCAGAGTGCAGCGGAGCTTCCAGTCTGGCTTGAGCTCGGGTGGTAACCGGATAGGCCTCGGCAGGGGGGTCTCGGGCTAGTTGGGAGGTTAGGCATCCCACATCATTTCCCAACAAAACCTCGGCGGGCAGTTCTTGCATAATCCCCACCTCCAGTTGTTTAGACCCGGAACCCCAATCAACAAACATATTAGCGGTGGGCAGTTTGTGAATAGCGCCCCCAGCCACCCTTACAGCGACTGTGCGTCGGTGCGAGCTTGTGCTCTGACCGTGTGGGGCTGTACCACAGTCAAAGTAGCCCCAGAGTCTCTCAGCGCCCGGGCCCCCACGCCATCGACGGTAATCCATTGGCGGTGATGGTCCCGGTTGTCCCCCCCAGCTTGTACTGGATTGACCTCATGTAATACACTCCACTGTTCTTCGTGGTTAAGGCCAGGGCCTGTGTGATCCTGTTGCACACAGTGCGCAGCTGCCCTGGGTTGTTGTGGGGCTGGCCGTTCCCAGCTTCCCCGGTTTAAGCGAGGGCACTGATACTTGTAATGTCCTGGTTGCTTGCAGTAGTGACACACTGCAGGAGGTCGAGGTGTGTTTGCTGGGTTCGGTGAGGGGTTACCTATGGCAGGTCTAGGTGGAGCCAGGTTGGTTGGGGCTGTGTACTGAGGCTTAAATGGTGGTCTGCTCGCCCCTTGCTCTTTCCTCCTGTTATCCTGGTACTCGTCCGCTAGCCTAGCGGCCTCCTCCACGGTTTTTGGTTTCCTATCTTTTACCCAGTCTTTTATGTCCTCTGCAGTATGATTAAAAAATTGCTCCAGTATCACTAGTTGTAAAGCCTCTTCTAGGGTGGTTGCCTGGCAGCCCTTCATCCAATTGCGGGCTGCCCGCTGCAGGCGAAAAGCCCATTCCGTATGGGAATCTCTCCCAGTCTTTCTCAGGTCTCTAAACTTTTTCCGGTATGCCTCCGGAGTTACCGCATATCTGGCCAACAAAATGTCTTTTATTTTCTCATAATTATGTATGTCCCCCTCAGGTACTGCTCGCAGCGCCTCGGCTGCTCTACCTGACAATTTACTGCTGACGACTGCAGCCCATTTGGTGGAGTCTAATCCCTCCAGTGCACACTGACGTTCAAAGTCTTGCAAGTAACTGTCAATTTCCATTTCATTGTCAACAAATGATTTAAACGCTGCATAATTTACCTTCTTTGGTATTTCCCCAATACTTCTCGGGGGGTGTAGCAAATCCCCCTGTGACGCTCTGTCCCGGTCATCTCGCTCTTTTTGCGCTTGTCTGGCTTGTGCTACGACCTGCAGTATCGCCTCTGAGGATGGATTGGGTCCCAATAAACTGAGTGTCCATCGGATGTCCTTTTGCATCACGGTTTCTTCCTCTTGGTCCATCTCTATATTACTGGTATTATCGCTCTGCATTAACTCCGCAATTATCGTGGCTTTTGTTTTGTTACTTGCCACTCTGCCTCGAGCTTCCAGTAAGTCCTTTAGCGTGGTTCTTTTAAGTAGCTGGTACTGCTGAGCCATTCATTCCTTTGCTTGTTTTGAAATGTCCATTTGGGATTCGAATCCCTCCGCTTGCCACCAGTTGTAAGGAAATCCCATATAGCTGAACCGCTTTGATAATTCCTCCTGCAATGCCAGCGTCTAAGGTAGTTCCAAGCAATGAAGTCCCTAAGAAATATAACAGCTTCCCAAGATAATCCCCTTGGTAAAGCATACGAATTCCCAAATAACAGTCAGAGTCCAGAATCAGGATACAAGTAGATCTGAGGTCTGGAATCTCCAGCCTGCTTTTTATTACGGTTACAGACAAGAAATACACACCCAGGGGGAGGCATTAAATCACCAATCAGGAATAGGTTACAGCCCATACCTCCCTCCCCTCTGATAAACAGTTAACTTAATTAAAACGTGCACTATTTTACCCCAGTTCTGGATGTACCCCAAAAACAGGGGGTACACCTTTAAATCTGGTACCGCTGGATAGTTCTCATTTGTGTGGACAACATATCGAAAAATCAGTCCATTCGGATGACGGTTCGGGAGTTATGGAACACTAAAGTTTTGACCGACCGCACGGACCATCTAGCCGAAAATAGTTCCATAAGTTTTGGCCCTGCGGTCGGTCTCCGTTTAGGCGAATAAAAGAGACGAAAGCCCTGCCATCCATTCGCATCTTTGTGATCGTTGAAATCCCCATACGAAGTTGCATGTAACTACCGAACGGCCGGTGATTCGGTTGTTCCGTGCGAAGTTCTGGATGTATGGAGGTCTCAGCGGTGTTCGCCTGTTTGCGTATCCGATTTTAGTTCCACGCGTTGACGGGCAAACACCGCTGTTCGCACGTAAAATGGCTGCGGCCACGTGTAAAGTGCCGAAATGGCGGCCACCTATATTTCACACAGGGAATTCGCCTGAATACATCCGAAAGGTAGAAATCCTGATTAACGGAGTCATTTCTTCACACCTACCAAATGGAACAACATCCTTAAAGTTTAATGGACCCTCAGGTATTATGACATTGTCCGTACCAAAGGAAGAAGAGTGGCGACTTTATACAGTGTTGACTAGCCAAAACCCGAGGAGTGATGAATCCTTATTTAACATACCAGGAGTTTGGGCAGAGAACAACCCACCAGGACTGGCCCGCAATATTCCACCTATTAAAATCGAACTAAAACTTGGGGTTTATCCAGTAAGCCTGAGACAATATCATATTCCGCAGAAGGCTAAGAAGAACATCCAATCTTATCTGGATAAGTTCATACG